GTCGCTCTCTTCTTGGCCGTAATTTTGGCTTCATCCCTCAAGGAAGCCATTTCTGCTGTTTTGTTAGTCATTTTTCTGTTTATATTAACAATAGTTACTTTCAAGAAAATACAAAAATGCGCCTACATTATGGAAATGAACAGAAAATTAAAGAAGAATTATCTTGGTTTTATGGAGTATTAGGTTGTCACCTCTCTGAAGGCTACCTTCAAAAAAATTATAATCCTTGCAAGTCTTTGCATTTAATACAATATTTGGAATACGCTTAACACCTGATACATTTGTCTGAAAATATATATGTGTGTGTACATAAAAATTTTCTCTCTTTTTTAATATGAGGCATGAAATTCTAATTTTTTAAAAGCCTTTTTAATCCCATTGTGCGCGTTGTTACAGAGTTTGAACACTTGCGTTTGTGTCTTAATGAAAAGAGCAAATTGTTAAGTTGGTTTAATTGTTACAAATGAAGCGTATTTTTAAGAAATCGCTGTTTTATTTTATTTCACCATGTCCTATATGTTATATTCCATTATATTTCATTTTGTATATTATAGTTTTATTACATTCTACCAAAATTTCCTTTTTATCGTGTCTTTCTTAATTCTACTTGTATTTTTTTATGTAAAAAATTGATTTTTTTTTTTTAAGTTTAATTTATTTGAAAAGTGTTTTCTTTGTTTTATGTATATTTATACGAAAAAAGATTAGAAAATTTCGTTTTCGTATTCTTACTATTATTATATAAATGGTAATCTATGTATTTCTACACTTGAATAGCACAAAGACGATTTGTGTTCCTTTTAAAGATGTCAGAATTCAATAAATTCTCAAACTTGTATTTTTGGAATGAAAAATATACAATAGTGGTATTATGAAATATGTTCCAAGCGAACTTTTAGTTTGTGTTTTTTTCCTGTTTTGTTATGTTCGTAAGGACACTATGTTATATATGTATATACGTATGTATAATTATACATATATATATAATGAATGGAAAACTTTCGACACTGTTATTTAACTTAGAACGCACTAAATGTGTTAGTAGACGCCCTTCTGTTTTCCATTTTTCACTATATAAAATAGTGCATTATCAGATTAAATGCCAAATTGAAAAAATATTATTCGTTAGTTAACTGGAAAATTCCTTATTTATGTTTGACGCACACATGTAGTGAAAACCGCTAATTAGTAATTCATTCAGGGGGGATAGTATCCGCCATTATAATTACCATCAAAAGAGAAATCTTTACCACATACACAAAATGGGACAAATTGCAGAGTTCATAAATGTACATAAGTATCTGTGGGCCTTTTTAATCATTTCTCCTTAGAGAAAAGTAAAATTTGTTGTACAATTAAATCTCCGGAGCTCTCAAAAAGAACATATTTTTTAAATATTTTACTTCTCTTTCGGGCACATAACAGGTGCAGGATAATTAAAAGTATGTCTACGATAAATTAAGCTACCGTAGTCAATAAGGAAGTGGACGAAATTGCTCCACCAGAAAGAGTATTCACTTGCTTCCTTATTCATCTGCTAATTTATTTCCCTATTTATGGGCTTACTCTTTTAATCTTAACATTCTAGGCATTTTATGGGAATTCTTTTGGTACATGTATGCGTAGTATTCTGTTTGGTGTTTATTGAGAAGGACTCGAATAACCAAGCTAAAATCGTTAGGGAGCATAAGACCCCTGTGCTAGTCACCCACACTTACTTCTTCCTCATAAGTGTTATTTCTATGAACTGCCGGGTTTACACTTTTATTTATAATCCCCCAATGGCAGCATATTACGTCGATGTAACATTGATGGAGAACTTTATATATTTAGAATTGTAGGGAGAAAGGGCCTTATACATAGAGAACATGTTTATGTCGTTGTCAAGTTGATATATGCATTTTGTAGAGGAACAGGACTAGTGGATTAGGAACATAGCATAGTGTCCACGTTGAATTTTTCTTAAAGAAACTATGAAGTTTTTTCTACATATTTAATGCCATGAATAAAACGAATGTCTTTACACGATTTCGTTAATAATAAATCATAGACACAGTTATACATAACGACGGGATTTATTACTATGAATGTTCAATTTATGAAACCGTTTTTGAATTTCCTCTGTAAGGTGCAGTTGTTAACAGGCAAGGGGGACCAGGCAGGTACTACTCCAAGTGAGTATATGTAGATACAAAAATTATACTTCATCAGTATTGGAGTTTCACACGATGGATTAATGAAATGAGTAACATTCATAGCATTAATTATACCTTTCTTGTAATTTTATGGTAAAAAAAGGAGAACCATGTGCAAAGCAAACAACGAGAGTCACGACTATCAGAAAAAATGGGCAAATTCCGGACGGGCAGTTGTGAATGCACTTCAAATGGAGGTAAATATAATGCACACATATTGTTTAATCGTATTTCACCATTTCAGATAACTTTGGACTATTTTTACGTTTCAATGGAACTATTCCCCCCCTTCCTCTTTCTTCCGCCTTTACATTCTTAATATTCACTGGAATAAATAGTTCCAATAAGACATATAAAGATGTTCGAACGGTTTCCGCTTCGGTACTGTCTGAACCTATCGAGTTATGCACTAAAATTTGTTCAGCATGTAATTCTCAAGGTACTATATTTATAACTTTATTCCATACATTGTCTATAAATATTTTCATATTATTATTTTAAAGGGATGTAGATGCAGAACAAAATTAACTTATCTTACATTTTAGTATAAACTTAGGATGAAAGTTGGCTGAAGGATTTACTTCGCATTTTAAGCTTCTATGGATTACGCTATTTTGAGGAATATACATACTGTAAGTGGTTGTACTCTAGTAATTTGAGAAGGTATATTTCTCTCTAAGTTATTGTCATTACAGTTTATGTTTTATGTCTTCTTCATAAATTATGTTTTAATGATATTCCCAAAAATGATCTTAAACGAGATTTATACGCGGAATAAAATTTATGAAATCAGGGTTGATTCTGTTAACGGATAAGAATGAGTTCATTTTTTTTATTAGATTTTTGGGAATTGGAGAAAACGGCAAAAACTGGTAAGAACGATTAACGATAAATGCTACGATTTTATTTACGTTTTGTGATATCTCTGACGACATATCTAAAATGAAAAATTTAATAAGCTTCTTAATATTTTTAATGCATATGGGTTGCTCTAACATTGGTATACTTATTACTTTTTATTTTATTTTATATTTCTATTATATTTTATTCTATTCTATCTTATTTTTTTTTCCATAGCTTTTTCCTTGCTAAATGACGGATCTGCATTGCATAGTTCTCAGAAAGGCTGCAATATGTGGATACATATAAATATAATTTCTGCTCATGTTTTGCATATGATTTGTTAGGAATTTTTGTAAATTCAACTGTTACACGTATGTATCGTTTTTTTTTTTTCTTATAAATCCACTTGTATTTTTCGTTGGAATATATTACTTCTATATGAAATAGTGTATTTCAATGAAATGTAAACATTTCTGCTGCAAATACAATGTTGTTCTATATGTTTTTCATTTACTAATAGTGTGTTCTTCACTCTTCATCATTAAAAATGGAAAAGGGGAAGCATTTGTTCCATATTTAAGAATATACAAAATGAGTTGATGAAAAAGTACATTATTATGCTATTATCACAAATTTAATAATAACATTTTTGAATATTATTTGTCAAACAGAAAAAGAAAAAATTCGAAATAATATAACCCAGTGGAATCAGTTTTTAGCATATATTTATAAAAGAAAAAAAAACAGAAAAAAAAGGTTGCCTTTAAAAAAAAAAGCAACCATAAGGAAAAAGAGAAAAAATAAATATTATAGCCTTTTGTCCAGGATTTATATATTCTCGCTTTTTTTAATATGTTGGAAATGGGAGCATTCTGACAATGTAAGAATAAGGATCATGTTTGAGAATTTGCGTACTCGTTTCTGTTGTTTTCTTACGCCTGCAGTAATAATTTGCGTCTTTGTTTTAATTTTTCAGTTAAATGGTTATTCCTATGTTATGAATAAAATATCTTCAATAATTTGTATAGTTTATACCCTTAGGGGTATCACTGGGAAAGAAGGGCTTCCTCCGTAAATCTTTAAATGGAAGGCTTGGATTATCAGTTTTTCGAAGGCAACCTATTCCAGGAATGTTTCCTGCTAATGTAACCCAAACGGATGTACAATATTATAATGGTGACAGTGTGGATGATTACGATGAAGAACTTTACGATGAAACAGGAACAGAAGATGGTGTTGATGATTCGGAGAGTGATATGTACAGCAACACGAATATGGAGATGGACTCAACATATGAAGGATTAAACACCCCTGTATCAAATAATACATTCTTAGAAAATTACAAAGAATTAAAATTGGGGGAAATAAAATATTTCAATAGTTATAGCCATAGTCGTAGATCATTTATATGAAAAGCCAAGACTTTTATTAAAACGTTAAACATACACGTTGAATTACAACTGTTAGACATTCTGAACGGCCGCAGTTATCGCAACCCCTTTACGGTTAGAATAAAAAATAAGATGGGAAACATTCGGAGTGTCATGCTTAAATATAGAATATTCTCTCCAGTAGCAATTGGAACAGTTCTTACATTATTGTTATTATGTTTTCCGGGCAAACTTGCGTTCATAACGGGAAGTGCAACTATTTTAATCATATCATATTTTTTTGTTAAATTATGGAAATGTCAAAATATAGTTGATCATGAGGACGGTATCCCAGAATTATAAAGAATATTAAGGATAGATATATATTGAAAGGTGTCAATTTGCGTTATAGAAGATACTTTTTTGTGTATTAACTGAATATTCCAATGTGTAGTGCCTAAGAAAGGGTACAAACGAGCAACAGCGCAAACGTACTTTTACGACTAATCTGTGGAGGGAGGTTCACGTTTTGAATATACCGCAACATGAGTACATTATTTATCATTTCATGCCTTACCCCAATTAGACATGTATACTTGATTTTTATAGGTATGTTCATATTTCTTAAAGTTCTTTTCCTTCTTTCTTTCTTTTTCTTTTTCTTCTTCTTTTTCTTTTTTACCTTTTTTTTTTCTTCTTTTTTTCCTTTTTTTGTTTTACGAGAATTTGTGCGAATTAGTAATAAAATTTATTCGTTTTGGCTGATTCGTTAAAATTCAATCGATATGTATACTAATATATACATATATAGCGAATGATTTGAAATTTTTAATATTGGAAAAATCTGTTCTTCGCATTATTTACAAGAACTTATTTGTATTCCAACTTTTATATTTGTTAATTTAAGTATAATTATAAATGAGATAAAATTGTTACCAGGGAATAACATTGTTTTCGCTGTTATTGTATTTTTATGTATAGACATTGGTGTGTCATGGGAATCGTGAGGAAGGAGAGGCATATGGATAATTCTGCATATTGGAATCTATGTATATATGTCTGTGTGTTCCTTAAAAAAGAGATTGGCAGTTATTTTACAGCGTAATGTTGTAGGAAAATGATAACTGTAAAATTATAATATATTGGGAACTGGCTTTTTTAGATTTAATAATTTATTGATCTTTCTTAAATTTCTATCTTCTTCCTTCGTATAGGGTATGTGTGCACAGATTCTTCATATAAACCCTGGTTTTATTTCGTACTTTTCAATCGTAAAAGGATGTTCTTCCCAATAGTTTAATATGAAGTTGTTGCTTACCTGTGGTCTAAGGAACATGTGGACTTCCGTAGGTACATACACACATATAAGCAGTGGGGTAACGTATGGTGTGTATATTTTGCTGCCCTCCCTTTGGAACATATGGATCTGTATTATCTACGACGTAACTAATGCTATAAAAGGTCTGCGAAGTAAATACGAAGAGATACCCTTCCCTAGATGATATTTCTACTAATGGGTTATTTAATTTTAGAATCCAGAAATTTTCTTATTGTTAACGAAACGTGCTACTTTATGTGGCTCACCCTTTATAGACTGAAATATATTAAAAACGGTATAATTAAAGTTAGAATGTAAACTCTGCAGAATAGGCGAAAATTTGAGCAACGAATAGGATTATTTTATTTCTAAATCTATCCATTTCTAAGAAAGGCAAGAGTTGGTTCGAAAAATAGAATAATGAGTTACGTTACAGAAGAATGAACAGAACACCAATGCAAAAAGGCTAATACGTGGATAAGTCAATTTAAAGGCAAATTTGACGGTTCCTTCAACAGATGTGATTCATTATCTCGTTACATTGTACATTATATATACGTTATTTTAAAAAAAAACATTAGACGTAAATTAATGTCGGACACAAATTAACGATTAACACATTTGTGATGTGGGGGGTTTCCCTATCAGCATGATTAAGCTAATTATACATAACGCAAACAGAAGAGGAGAAGGTGGTAAAATTGCCCATTTGTGAACTGATTTTTATAGATGCATTGGTAAACGCTATTAAAAGTCAAGGAGGGAAATACCACTTTTGATAGTCAACAGCAACATATGCCTATATTTTTTTTCTTTCTATGATATTCGAGGTGAATTTTTTAGAATATTGACGTCGCCTTACGTTTTAGTTAAATGTGATGCATCTTTTAAACATCCGTTTAAAATATAAAATGATAAAAAGCGGAGGAGAAGAGTAAAATTAGAGGTGCAGTATGGGAAAAAAGAAATAGAGTTTCAACTGAGGGTTCTAGTTCTTTAAGTAATGATAAATCTTATAGTATAAATATTAAAGCACGACCTATATTATAATGTACAGAACAATGATAAGGGTGTAAAAATAAGCTGGGAAACACGATAATGGTTTGGAGTTTTCGTACAAAAAGTTGCAATGGAGCATTTTTTTCTTAAATAATAATGTTGGAACATTCCTCTTTTTTTTTCTTTTTTTTTTTTCTATTTACGTTTTATGAGTGCTACCTTTCAATAAAATTTCTTAGTTAGTTGAAACGAATTTATTACACAATGTCAATACATATAGTGAAGCATAACTTTATATAGGAGCAAAAGCAAACCTACGAAAAGTTCTTAAATGAAATAAGATCAGTGAATGTAGAAACTCCCCTAATATTTCTTCACTTTCTATAATTAGAGGAAACATTTCAGAGTACACACTTTTATATGTAGACCACAATTTTACCAATTGGAAAAAGGATAAATTAAATTGAATTTCATTCATCCTTTGGAATTTAAGAGACTGAGAAAAAATCCATATAAAAAAAGCAAGACCACCAAAAAAAAGATGGCAAACTATTGAGTTATAATTAAGTGTAGCACAATATATTATATACCTTTTATATATATTACTACGTAAAAATGTTTTCGTAGCTCACCTATTGTGGATGATCGTTGTTTTGCATTGGGATAAAAGATTGTGGATGATTTTTCGATTTCTCTGAGATATTTATTATGAAAAAAAAGAATAGCACACAAAATGAAAAAAGTAAAAAAAATATTACTTAATCAATATGCCAGTAAAAAATTCATATTAATAATCTATACATTTCGCATAGAAATAAGTCCTTCAAAATTATGCATTAGGATAAAGTTGATACAACTGTAATTCTATTAAAATAAATTTATGCTAAAATTATTAGTCCTCACATAAAATGAACAAGGAAAAATATTTTCCTAATTTTTGTATAATATATAACAAAAGAAAAATGCGGCCTTTTTTTTCGTGAAAAGAAGAAAATAATGAAATCTTAAAAATTTGCTGCTTTTTTTTTCTTTTTAATATAATTCCGGCTAAAATTTACGAATTTCACTTATGTTTTTTTTACTTTATTTATGCATGTAATGTCAGTATGAATATGATATATGTTATTGTACAGAATCAGTGAACTATTCTTTCACTTCATGTATAAACAGAAATGTACATATACTTTTGACAAATTTTGATGGTATTTTAAAAAGAGAGTAAGTTTCGGTCATATTTTATAATTATAACTCCTAAGAATAGATATTTACAGGTGTTCATAGTATTCAAATTAAATCGCGCCTATAGAAGCAAAAATAAATATATATGCATATATAATCCTTCTTTAGTTCATAATGAAACAAAAACAAGAACATCAGTTCATTCTATTCGTCTACGAAATAACGCGGAAAACGGCATTATATATATTAAATAAAAGATAGAATATCTTGTTCTTGCCATTATTTCATATAAAGGGTACCGCGATATTTTGTTGTTATATTCTTTATTATAGGAGGAATGTTCCAACTTTAAAAATTATCCCAGAAACATGGTCGTAACGCTACATGCATTTGCATCTTAAATGCATTTCTAAAACCTTTGCATTATTGTAATATTTACCTTTTCTTCTTTCTTAATTTACATATATTCTACGGGGCGTATGTGGCAATTTTCTGCAGGTTTCTATAGCAAATTTTTACCTATGTTTAAAGAAAGAACCAGGAAATTTTTATTTTATTTCAAAGGACTTTTTATATTAAATTAAATGTATAATCATATATTATAACAAGATAGTTAATAATGAATTCTGTCTTGGCATTTTTAATTATGGCATTATTCAACGAAGCTACATTTTATTTTTTCTTTTTTGTTCTATGTATTTCGAAAAAATTCTAACGTAATAAGTGGTTAGATACCACAAATGGAAGAAATTAGAAATTATTTATACGTGGTCTTCTTTTTTATATTTTTTTATTTTCAAAACAGTTTCTATTTAAATGACGTTTTACTGTTTTTTTTTTTTCCCCATGGTAAAAATAATATTATATGTTATAGAACTACGATTAAAAGAAAGTTATGGGTAAGTGGCAGCCGCATATAAAATAAAAAAAAGAAAGTTACTAGGATTTTACTTTTACTATATCTCTGATGTATTAAATAATATGTAATTTATTGTTGTTGGTAACCTTTTTTTAATTCTTTTCCTATGTAACAGAATACAATACTTTTTATGTATGTAGGGAGAGCGATTATAAAAAAGTGAAACTGAAATTAGTATAATTAATATTTTATTTTATGTTTATTTGTTACGAGAAAAGAATTATTTCATAATAAAGAGTTGTCTGATATTCTTACAAATAAAGTATCCCAATTTTTTTGTATTTTATCGAAGAGAAGTTATTTTTCTCTTTTTTTCATTAACTGGGAATAAGTTGTACAGAATAGAAATATGTTGCCGCATTAACATATAATTAACCATTTTATGTCCTATATATTATTACATATTATTAGTAGGTTGGAGTTACCTATTGTTGAGATTAATTTAATTTATGCACTTTTTCGTTAATATTGTTATGATACGTAGAAGGGAGAATTTTTCATATCTGAATTCACTAGTTCTCTTCATCTTACAGTAATTACAATTTAAATATATCTTATGCGCTATGTGTTATATATCTATATTTAGTTCATGAAACGTACAATAAAATGTCTATGAATCTGAACAGGCAAAAAATGACCAAGAAAAGATACAATCCTAAGGGGATTGAAAATCATCGAAGAAACTATCATATGAATAATGATTTATTTGTTGAGAATGAATCAGAATCGTTAACAGGGTTCCATATGGGTTACCAAGTAAATAAGTTCCTTTTTTTTTTGGTCCAGACATGCACATTTATTGTTTTAGCATCAACATGGCAAAATTCGGATAAGGTAAGCCAAAGAGAACATTTTGCCTCTTAACAGTTGTTATATGTTGTTGCAACAGATGCGTGTGTATGTGTATATACATATGTATATATTTATATATACATGCAGTTATGATGTGCACCTTATAAACGAACCTTCGCGTGAACGTTATAAAACAAAACATGTGTTCATTTTTCTGACACGTAACATGGTGAATTCTTTCTCCAAATTTTATAGGAGCATGCTACCTCAACCTTTAGTGAATCATGGGTTAACCGAGGGAGTTTAAATGGATTAGGTGTCAGGTCGGGCAGACTGTTAATTGGAGATGCACATATAAGCATTGGACCACATTATGAACTTTATGATGAAAGAGAAGCAAATTTGCTAGGGGAAAATTACCATTCTTCTAAAAAACATCTGCATGGAATATTACTTGATAACAATTTTACAAAACATTTAAATGATTCAATATACAACAATAGATGCGTGAGAGAGGCCAACATGCAAGCCAATGAAAACGCTAATAATAGAAGAGTTATTCCGAGGGAGTCGTTTGATTCGTTAAGTTTCGACAACGATTTGAATCAATCAAATGGGTCTCCAAATGATCAAAATCAGTTCGGAATGAGCTTCGACGACATGCAGCATCACAATAACGTTGAAGAAGATATTGATCACGAACAACTGGATGAGAGTTTTGTAAATCATTTAGATCATCCAGAAAATGATGGCAGAAATTCTAATAATAGAGGACCCAATCCAGATTATAATTCTATGATGAATGATAAAGAATCATCCGGTTCAACAGAGTTTGGCGAGACAGCTATATCAAGTAGCCCAGGAGCAGGTGATAATATTTCTTCAAAAGGATTGGAACCTTTAAAACAATGCAATAATTTTAAAGAAAATGGTGATGAAGCACAACTCGATGAATATTTTGAAATGAATAATTCATCAGTACAATTTGATGGCCGTACAAGCAAAACACTTAATAATTTTAAATCTAGTGATAATGTGAACAAGAATGTACCTGGTGAAAAAATGAAGGGCAGTAATAGCAGCCGAAGTAAACAATGTGAGGTATCAAGTGTTAATGTCACTTTTGATGAATCTCACTATACGTTAAGAGAGTACAGTGATTTTCAAGATAAAGTTAACGATATAAAAATGGATGATGATTTTAAGGAAGGATTGTTCTCATTAAAAGAAGTTAGTAATGTAAATCTCTCTCTTGGTAAAATTGAGGGTGACATTAATCGAAACCAAGGATTTAATAGAAATAATGATGTTCTTAGTGCCGCCAATTGTGAACACAATTATGAAGCATTATCCAATAATGAACATTCAGACAGAAAATCTGATGCACTGAAGAATTACAACGATTCGAAGGGAAAACTTAATGCAGAAGCACTTCATTCTGATTTTGAAAATGAGGTTAATGGGCGAATGGGGCATAACTTTCCCCCAAATGATGCAAATTTCTTAAAAGGCGATGTCGGAGTTAACATAAGATTTGATAAATTTTCAGATGCAGAGGAAAAAAATAAGAAATTTTATCCATTAAGAGCGGTAGATAACGTGCATAAAATTTTCGATCAGCGCAGTGATGGTGAGGGGATCACGAATGATCAATATGGACCATTCAAAGATGCAGATGATATGAGCCACGTGGAGGGATTCAGTGACGATGAACATAACACAACCAAACTATTTGGTCCATTGAATGATAACAACGACATGAAGAACCAATTCCGTCCATTGAAAGATGGTAGGAGGAAAGCAATTCATAATGAAAAGTATGACCTACATGAAGAAAACGAACAAATATGTGCTGAAATGTATGATCAAGAATATAACACGAATGGATGTGACAAATCCAAAGATGAAGACGATTCGAATGAACATTACAATAATTTCAAGAATGACGAAGATTCCCAAGTAAGTCTTTGTAATCCATTTAAAAAGAGTAAAAGTGTGAAAAATGTGGAGCACGGGGCACAAGTTAGTGCCATTAATTTGGAAAGCTTATTTGAAGTGAACAAAGATACTTTAAATGAACACGGATTAGATGGTTCATTGGAACAATACAATCCCTTAAAAGGACAAGTGAATGGAGAAGAACTCCATGACTCTTTGGAAAATGGAGTTAACAGATTAAGAGAACACGATCTTCCTAAAAATGGGGTACATCCTTCAGAGTGTGGTCCACAGAATGGCAACGAAAAAAGTGAAAACATTAATGGGAGAAATAATACAAACAGAGGATTTGAGAGATCAAAAAATGAAGATGATGAATATGAGACAGCTGAAGGCAGATATAAAAGGTATGATGAAAATAACATACGGGATTATGATACACAAGGTGGTTACAGATCTGATCATAATTGTGTAAATGTATTAAAACAGGACGAAATTGCTAGCGAATCCCAAGAACTAGGAAAATATGGCTATTGTACTGAAGTAGTGACAACAGTGATAGAAGATATAGGAAATGATAAGGAACAATTCGATGAGGCTTTAAGAGATGTAAATGCCCGGAAACCGTCAGATATTACCCCAGAAGATAATACGAATGTTAGTGAACACTTTGACGGTACGTTAAAGGACAATGCTGGTGTTCAGGAACAACTTAATGAGGCAAAAAATTACCAAGATAACAAACAATCTGGTAAATCAAAAGATGAAGAGCAAGTTAACATCACTTATGAGAAGTTGGATGGTGGGAGAATAAACTCTAAATCTCAGAAATCGGAGTATGATGATAAAGGAAGCTATGTAACTTATAAATCGACAGCAATTAATGACACGTACAACAGTGCAATTCATATATCAAAAGAGGCTAATGACCAACGATGCGATATGACAAAAAAATTAAAAAGTATTGATGACATAAATAGTGATATCCATGATCACTCAAAATATGGCGACAAAATCGGTGACAGAAAGGGCGGCAGGAATGGTGACAAAAATGATCACAAAACTGATGGCCAAAACAGCTTTATAACTCGTAACTCCCAAAATGATGAAAATACTTGTACTATATCCGATGAATCCATGGCTGATAGAAATAAGAACAATTCCCATATCTTTAAAAAGGATAACGCTAATTATAAAAGGAAGGCTACCGAATTAATTAACACAAATAATTACCAGAATGAGCTTTTGAATGCTAAGGAACTTACTGACCACTTTAAAATAATGTTTAATATTTTAGAAAATGCTGTTGCTACAGAGAGAAGATTCGAGGCATTAAAGTATTATGAGAGGTTTAAAAAGGAGATTCTTAATATACAACTTGAAGGAGATCTGATGGATGGAGTCAATGAAGTAGAACTTCGTATCCATACTAAAAAATCGCTATGTGCAGCGAAAAAGGAATATGACGACTCATGTGATTCGTCAGAGGATGAAAATTATTCTGATCGTCAATCCTATATATTAGGACATAATAATAGGGATAAGAAAGAATTAAATAAGAAAAAAGAAGGTATGTATTATGTAGACACCCGTCCCATTCGTGATAATTATGATTCCAAGAGCCAATATAACGTATTAAAGGGGAAGAACAGCTCTAGAAACAGTTTTGATAAATTAAACATTGGTACTGATTATTATAATTCTAGAGGTTCATTTGACGTTTCTAAAGATAATAATCTCGTCAAGGAAGCATCTGATAAATCGAAGGACGGTACTGTTTATTGTGGTTCGAAGAAGTCACTTGGTGTAAGAGAAGGTAGTTACATAGAAAAGAAAATTTTGGTTAAAAATAAGAACCACAATTATTATTATTATGCTTCTAACCAGTCATCTGTTTCTTCAAAAGTAAGTAGTGATATGGCTAAGAAAAGTTATAACAAATCCCGCGATACTACTGATAAGTGTGAGACTAGGAGTTTGTATAGTATATTAAGTAGAAGTAAATCTAGAAAAAGCCTTGATAAATCAGGTGGTGCTTCTGACTATTGTGGTTCAAAGGGTGCATGCAATGGATCCAAAGACAATAAGGTGATTAAGAACATTTCTCATCAACCAAACAAGCTGTGCAATTCAGCAAAAGCATCAACTCTGTTAATGGATGCTGATTCGAGTTCAATGAAAGGCGTTAATAAAATAAACAACAAAGAAAAGGGAAAAGGAAATGATAAAGTTAATTCATGTTCTGTTAAATCCTCCTATTCATTAAAAGAGAAAACCAAAGATAAGAAGAATTCATCTAATCCATTAAAACATGATCAGAGCAATTTAGATGATCTATATGACGAATTAGACGATGCTTACTACATGAATAAACGGCTTGAGGCATTACAATATATTAAAGAACACTTCTACAAGCAACATGATGATTTAAAATATGATGAAAAAGAATTTGATACAATTTATAAGGCAGTACAAAGATATGAAGAAATTGATAAGAAGAACCCCAATAGATCAGGAGACAACGATAACAACTCTGTGAAATCACATGAAGAATCAGAAAAGGGTAATGATTCTTTGAAGACTACTGACACCTTTAAACGTAGAAGTATTGGTTGTGAAAAATGGGACTTATTAAAGCGCAATGATATACCTATGGAGATGGAGGAATCATTCAGACATAGTGAACAAAATTTTTTACACCCTGATGAATTCCGACACGATAGAAATTATAAAGATTCAAATGGTAAAGCGACAAATAATAGAAGGAACGATAATGGAAAAAATCATAACAGAAGGTATGATATAGATTATGACTATGAAAAGTGCTTAGGAAATTCAAAAAGCAATAAAAAGAGCTTTATAAAGAGGGTATTTTCATATATAAAGGGAGATGAGAATGAACCTTCCACGTCAAGAATGTTTAATAAGAAAAGTTTGTTCTCAAAGACCTTAAAGCTTATCAAGAAAATAGATTTCAAGTTTGAATTAGAAATGATGACTTCAATTAAAAGTTCAATAAAGACGGATAAATTCTGGATTCAGCGACCAACGTGTTTCAATAAATTATTTTATTACACCAAGAAATATAAAATATTTTTTCCAATTCTATTAATGTTATTAGCTTCAATTATACTTCACATAGTTAGTTTAACAAATGTGGCCCTTGGTATCAATCTTGTGCTTCTTGGCATGATGTTTTATTATCATATGAAATTATTAAAGTGTCGTAAAATGGGAAAAGTCTTTAGAACTTTTAGCGAGAAGAATAAATTCGAAATAAATTAGAATCACAAAGAAATGGTATGTTTAAAAATCTTTAAATTTAATAACGTAGAAATGTGATTGAATTGAAAATTTGATATTTTCAAGAAAGGGTATATGTATATACCAGCAGCTGTATATATAGGTCTGTGTATTCGAGTAATACTTTATAAGATTTTACTTGTACCATTTATATATATGTTATTTCTTATCTAAAGTTTTTTGTAATGTAGTATACCCCTCTAATATAAATAGGCCATTTATAATGTTGTTCATTTGAATTCACTATTGTTACGTATGATTATTAATGGGAATACATATTAAGGGGTTTGTCTCATCTGTATTAATATATATATATATTTTTCCTTTTCATTAACAGATTTGTTTGACAACTTACTGATATTTTGTGTTTCGTAATTAATATACGAAAAACTTATTCTTAGTGTAATTGAATTATAATGCATTTTTCGTTAAGAAATGTATGTTTCTTTTTGTTTCTTATTCATATCAACATTTTAATCATTAGTTATTCCCTGTGAGTAAATTTCAATTTATTACAAGCACATACAAGCTTATAAAAAAAGGCATACATATTTGTGTTGCTTTGTTTTGACTTCATATCACCCATGTAGGTGATAATTCTGTAAAAAATTGTTGATCTCAGAAGGAACTATTTGATCCTTCAAAATTTTCGTATTCTCTTATTTATAATTCAGGGTATTCTCGAATTTTTCCTATTTAAAAAAAAACCTTTCCTACATGTATTTATACATGCACACATAAAAACGCCAAGTTAATATTAGAGGACTACAAAAATATTTGTGTGTTTTATATGAACAGTCTTGAATGCGTAGAGAGACATAGAAGCAGTTAACACCTTTTTCATAATTTAATCTACCCGAACGCGTCGTGTTGCTAGTATGCTATTCGAATTGGTGGAAGAAATTGCTTCCTCTACGGAAAATATAAAATGAATCATTTATTAATTGCAGGTTTTTACGATAAATCGACAAAAATAAAATTTTACGTTTTTCTGAATATTTTAAATATTTCTGATTCTATTTGATGTGTTATTATAGATTCTTATTTTTATATTAAAAAATAAGGATAAAAAATAAATAAACAACGGGGACACTGCAACATTTATGAATTATCTCAAAATGCGATTGCATTATGTTATCGTAAGGAATATAAGAATTTATCAACGACTATTTTTTACACTTCTGACTATATTTGCTTGCATAATTCCTATGATAATTATATAAGTTTTTTGCAAAGTTTAAGGAATAAAAAAATTATTTTTATATCTACGAATAATTCAGGTACAACTTGTTCTTTTTTTTGTTAATAATAATTAGAATAATACGTAGGGAGTTCTTAATATGAGCGTAAAACAGAAGAATATAAAATAATATAATAATAGGGAATAAAATTAAATTATAGATGAAACTGAAAAAATTTATTCCCTATTCAGATAGTTCAATACCATGATAAGAATGTTTTTTGATAAATTTAAAATTCTCAATGAATCTACATATTCCTAATTTATAAATTGTAATTGTAATTACTATATTGTTATTGTGAAGAATTCTTTCATGAATTGTTTTTATTTATTATTCATAACATATTATATAAGTTATGGAATTCAATGAATGTAGAACATTTGAATGAAATAAAGCAACGAATTTTATATTTCTTGGTATTTTAGTAGGTAAGAATTCCATTGGGTAGTTTTATCTGCTACCATAGGAGTAAATCCTTCGCATATTATTACTTTAAAATCTACATTTTAGTGTATTTTGCCATAAAAATAATATATATTGAAAGACATATTCTTGAAGGAAAACATGGAAACGAGTAAATTTTTTATTTATGGAAACTGCAACTTATAATTACTACCTAAAGGTTATGCATTATTATTTTTTATTTCAATAATAAGAAGAATAGAATCGTTGTAATGTAGGGATCAGTGGATAACTGAGTTGCTCATACTTTAGATGTGTATAAAATATGTCTGGCCATATATATATACTATTTTTCTCAACCCTATTCGATAGAAATTATCTTAGCCTTTCAAATTACTTTCACAATTGGAATTTAGATTATCTTTCTTATTCATTATAATACAATTAACATACTTTTAAGTATCTTAATTACATAAAACATATATATAATATAAGAAAAACATCCTCTAGGATTTTTTTGTTTATATGATAAAAGAACAAAAAGAAAAAATCAATACAGCGTTATATATATATATCCGTAGCAAAGAAGACGCCTACAGGAGCAGTGGCTTAATAAGAGAATTAACCCAGGATGGAAGAAGGATAAATATTTTAACAGTATTAAATCGTGTTCCATATATTTCGGAATAATTATAAAATGTAAATTTCATTATTTACTTTGTAATTAGTAAAAAGGATGAGCTTCCATTTATTCTTATGATAAATTTTATATTTTTTTCGATATGTGGCGTAATTTATAGATACATTTAAATATAATATATGGGTGGTAATATGCAAAATTGTTCCATTTCAAACGGGGAAAAAAATAACAACTAATGCGTGCATAATAGAGGAGGATGACTATTCAATATTATATACTGAGAAGGAGGCTATTACATATGTAGGAATTAGAAAAAAATAGGGTCTATATTTTTTAATCACTAAGAGTTTTCTACGAATAATAGAATGCTCTATAGCAAAAGAAGAGCAAGAAAATAAAAATGCTTACGAAGGAAATATTTTTTCTGTCTATGCATGAATCACTAGAAATATCACTTTTTATACATATTATCAGTTTCTTGCTCCTTTCAAAATCAATTTTCTTATAATTCTCAATATTTATTAAAGGAATTTTATAAAGTAATTTTTCTTTCATTATTATATATGATTTTTTCTATATGCTAATCTTCTTCATTTATATTTCTTCCTTTTCTAAATATATTGAAGCTTTACAAAAAATATATAATACGTCAGTGATAAAACATCCAGGCAAATTTGGTACAGATGCTATGTTTTAAAATATATTTATTGAAAAGGAGCACAATGAATGAATTCCCAAATTAGTAATTTCCTAAAACATTGAAAGATAATACATTAAGTAGATTTGTATTTACAACGACTGTTGAATCTGTTTATTTTGTCAAATGCAGGGAATTATTTAGTGCTAAATTTTAACACTTTACCAACTTATTATAAACCATTATGCACAGGACGATAACATAAATATATGAAAGAAACCATAACAGTAATTTTTCCTTTTTTAAATAATCGATGGATCTTTTTTAGCAGTAAATTATATTAGACACGCATGACAATTAAATAGAGGGTCTTGAAAAATCGTATATATCTATTAATTTTTTTTTTCTAATTCTATAGAGTCATCAACTGGAAGAGTTACCTTCGTATGAGTTTTATCAAAAATTAATAAATGATCACAACTTAAATGATGTCAATAATTTCTGTAGTGACGGATTAAATACATACGCTAAAGATGAATGGCTTCATAAACTTTGTAGACAACTGATAAAGATTGTGGAATTGGTACCAGATAACGATAGTTTCCGTAAGAAGCACTGTGTTGATATAAATTATTGGCTCTATGATGAAGTGTATAAAAAACTTAAATCTACTAAGAACGAAAGGGACTCTGGGGGTATCATTGATCTTTTTGAGAGAATATGAACAACATTTAATCATTGTAGTTATAGAGAAAGAAAAGGTAAGGATGTATGTTTTCCAGATAAAACTTTATTCAGGGATAACTTTTTGGAATATTTAACACAAGTGAAAAATTTTTTTGATTATATTGAAAATTATAATTTCATTAAGGACGAAATTAAGAAGAGTATATATTATGAGTGTCAAACATATTTCGATTATCTTAAGGAAAGAATTCCCTTATTTTTTTCCTTTGAAGCATTATGTAAAGATCTAGACAGTAACAGCTGTACAGATTATATTCAAGATTATCTCTTATATGATCCAAGAAATGTCTTTACTAAATATGAGTTACTTAAATTATATTTACAAGCGTCGTTGTATCCTTGTTATAATAAGGTCATACATGTATTCAATGAATTCAAAAAATCAAATACAGAATTCATAGCAAGGTATAATCATTATGTTGAAGCATTCAGTAATAAGCCTGCACAGCAGGGGGTAATGTTAGCACAAATTGATGAAGTGAAACATGCTTATACTGTAGAAAATCCCAAAGGTCCGACAGTAACAGTTGTAATTGACTCAGAACAACTGCCAGAAATTCGAAGTGAACTACATAGCGGTGATGGTATTTCTTCCAGCTCCATGAATGAACATAGATTCCCATTAATTAAAATTGCTTTCAGTACAATTCTTTCTGTATTGCTAGTCTCAATGCTTATAAGAGCCTTATGGAAGGTAAAAACAAAGACGCTGCTTACAGTAATAGACATCTTCAATAAATATCATATAACCGCATCATTTTATATTTTGCTTAATTTTATTCTATTTTACCTTATTTCACGATAATTCACGTTATCTTACGTTATTTTACGCTTTTTCATTGAATTTTACTTTGTTTTTTCTTTTTTTTCATTTCACTCCACTTGGAAACCTGTTCTCACGAAGACATAAACGAATAAGAAGAGAGCTTCAGTATTACAATTATCCTGTCCAGGGGGATTCAATATTTAACAGTTATGATGGTTGTAGTACTAGTTCCGATTGAAGCGAATACAGCATATCATACACCCCTATGTAACATGACATATACTTCAATGATCTGTAACATTGGGCTAAGCTTACCACAATGGATATGTACAGCCGAAGAATACAAAAGCAGTAGCTACGATTATGTGGGAAGGAGGAATAGTATATATGTTTATATATATATATTACGCTTCTGTATGAAGGTACCCACAGTAGTAATGTTTTAGGTAATTGATTTTTGGAAATATTAAGGCATAATTATGCGGAAGATACATATTATAAGAGATAAGGCAACGTATGAATTTTCAAAGTTCTCACAGTGTGTAAATGCTAAAATAAGGAAGAAACGGATTGGAACAAAATAACCGCGGACATGAAATTTATTTGTTATAAGCATTACAACAAAGTATGCTACCTAATTTAGAATGAGAAACATTTGCAGAATTAAAACTAAAGACCTGGCTTCTAAAACTTTATTTATAAAATGAATAATTAAAATGTTTACTCTTGTCTAACTTTATCATATTAGTGATACTAAGAAGGGCCAAGAATAATTGAATATTCTTTTGGTAAAAACGTTTGAATTTACACAGTTATTTCTATATGTGCCCCTCTATATATACGTATATGGAGATATATATATATATATCTATATACCTATACAGTGTATGGACTGTTGTGCAATTCGTAATTGTTGTATATTATTACTTTTTTTTTTTAACTTTTTTATAGTTCAAAAATTTCTATTTTAATTTATTCAGGTTTCGAAACCTTTATGATTCCAATTTGTTTATATTTCTAATGATTTTTTTTATGGTTTTTTCGTTTATTTGAAATCATTTGGTTTCCTTATTCTTTGGGAATCCTGTATTCTTTCAAGAAATTAAATTTATATTTACTGTAATCTATAAGAGACCCTAAGAATGTTGCCTTCAATTATTTTTACAGTTTTTTATTCGTTTTCGTTTTTAATACCATTTTTCTATTCCTATAATGCAATCATACTAAACTAGTAAAAATGTAATTTCTTTTTAATCATGCTCTTATTTTGCTTTATAATAAATAAAAATGAAAAGCTATAGTTTTTGACATGAAAAAGAAAAAAAGAAAGGGGTCTTCGAATCATGCAAAAGCGCAATCCTTTTTAATACAGCAATAATTCATTAGATCATATGTGTTCTACCTTTTTGAGTGCTATAAAGTTTGTTGGTTATTCTCTTTTATGGTCCGTTGATTGTGGTTTATATTAGCAGTGTATAGTGAAGCAATATTTCCGACGTTAAAATGATAATAATATGTCTTTTTAATTTTAGGAAATTCTCGCTAGGATTCCGGAAATCATCTGCAATAGTATGTCATGCAATATCATCATAAATTACCGTATTTGCCTACCTGGCAATTGCACGAAATGCCCGCATTTGTTGATTGCTTATCATAATTACCTCTAATTATATTGAAGCAACAAAAAAAAAGGAAAGAGAAAAACAAAAAAAGAAAAAGGTAATGAAATAACCATAAAATCTTTTAAAACGAAGGAGTATATTTTATTTCGTATTTAATAAAAGTGAGTAGCAGTTTTACATTATACTCTGCGTGTTTCGGAAAAAATGAGTTAATAGGTTTTAACGGATCAAACAAAATTTACGAGAGACCAATTTAGTGAAGTTACTCATATATGCTTATATATTTGAAAATTTTTTAAAGACATTAGGATAGGTATTGTAAATCTTTTGCGCATTAAAAAAAAAAAATTTACAGAGACACCAATTTTTAATTCCTAAAATTTGTTAAGGACAAATTTATAATGGAGCACTAAAGGTGATCATAAATTCTCTGTTACACGTCGAGATTTACTCCCTCAGGAGCTCCATTAGTAAAAATACATTAAATGTTATTTAATGAAAGGACATAGCGAGTTGAATAATTAGCATACTTTATTAATATATGGAGCAAATAATCTTTTCCTTTTTATGCATTAGTACCCTGAGATACTCAGAGAGAAGTTCCTGAAGTGGCCCTGTACCTCAGATTTCCAAACTTAATAATGTTCATCCTATAAACAATGAAAGCGTTAAAATATGTGGAGAAAATAATGAGTTATGCAATCAATAGGATTAACGTTTTTTAAGATGTTCTCTTCAGTAGGAAGTAGGATGTCTTCAATAATTATTAAAATGATTTTAACGAAAGATCGTTCTTTCACTTGTTCATTGGCTATGATGTATCGTTAACTTCTAAATATGAACCTTACAATACACGAATAGGAGGACAAATATGCAATATGTATGTAAGGCATGAGATGAAAATATCATGCATCAATTATGTAGACAGAGAATGCATTCCGAATGAGTCGTTAAACACATTGACACATACCTCTGTGTTTATATTTACAAACTTTTACTAATGGGAAAGATGAGACAGTATAAAACTTCAAAATGTTGGTGTCTTTATACAAACAAAGCTTACTCTAAGAATTATATTTGGAAAAAGCTAAGACAGTTATACGAAAAAGTTAACTAATAATCATAAGACTGTAAATTTGTTTTTTCTAAAAAATTTAATACATATGTAATGAGAAATTTTTGTAAAAATGGAATTTGTTTCTAATTTTATCAGCACAATCGCACGAATTAATTACTTCTTAGTTGAAAGGAATGTCAAATTTTGAAAAAACCCCAGAGTGAAGTAGGAAAAGAACTAACACCACTCAAATGAAGGCAACATCATCAACAGTCTTGTTGTCATTCTCTGTACGTATCTTGTATTTTTAGAAAATTAACAATCTACGAGATCATAGTAATGCTAAGACGTTACAGTATATTATATCATATTACATTGAACTACTATGTTGTTCGTATCCTAGATAAAAACTTAGAAATGGCTAATCAGCAAAAATGTGTTATTATAAAAATAAAATCAAATATCGTAATCAATATGTGAAAAGATACATAAAAAGAACAGTCTCCAAGGAAATACCCATTTCGCTGCATCCATAGAACAGGTCAAAAAAGAAAAATTAAAAAAAAAATTTCTTTGACCAAATTAACAATTGAACTATGCTGTACGCGCTAACAAGGACAATTGGAAAATGTTACCTCTTAATATGTATCTGAACATTAATCGATGCAATTTTTATTAATAATTCCCTATTTTGTTAACCCCTATATATAATTTTTTAATTTCCTTCGTTGTATTCTTCGAGGAAGTCATATATCCTTATGGTAAGGTGGTTCAAGGATTCGTACAGATATAGTCCTTTATTACAGAATGCACAACACGATTATACACGATTCTTGAAATAATCTTCAAGGGAAATATACACAGGGAAAGGATACACACGGAAAATATGCACGAGTAAAATATTTTATGTCGTTACGTCGTATACTCACTATGGATGGATCGAAATTTTTGTCCATTTAAAAATATTGATAAAAGACTAGCAGATCTTGAATAAGAGTGTTTTTTCTTTTTTCTTATGCTGCTGTACAAGATGTAGCAGGTATATCTGAAGTGTTAACATCTTTCTTAAGTATTTCGCGTAAAATTATTTCGTGAGACTCCATAATTAATAAAATTTTGAGTAGAGGTTGGTACGGAAGCCTCAGTAACACAATGCCTAATCCTCGTAAGTGTTCTTCTATTTGACATTTTTATTTTTTTTCCATTACTTGTCTCCTCCAGGTAGGGATATTTTAGAAGGCGCTGCAATTACAGTGCATGTATACGACTTGTTGACCTTTTTGCTTCTATCCGTATACACACATAAGGTGATCAGTGATTGCGTATCCAGGGGAAAAACCGGAACCATTTTCTATCTTCCTCAGATATACAGATTCACTTTTTAGGTTTATAATTTTTGAACTGGTCATTTATGTAGTTTGCCCACTTTTCCTTTGTGGATTCTCGAAGTTCTTTCCACGATCTTCTCTTCAAATTGATGTACCTCAAAAATTCCCACCTTGCACAAAAATCTTCCTTAGCAAAGTCCTTTATATTTTTTAAATCAAAACGATCTTTCTTCAGTAGTAAATTCCTTATTTTATCATCTACATGTTTGCATCTTTTCGGTTCAAATTCTGTTGGTATGTGATAATGTTTAGCTAACAATTTACAATAATTTTGCATTTCTTTCTGCATTCGAGTAAACTTTACCCTCTCATGATTATGTACATATTTCCATACCAGATTCATCGTTTTGGTGTTAACGGCCCCCTTTATGTTATTTAATTTATCGTTTAATTCGTCTTCCGTTACTTCTTCGCAATTACCAGTATTTACACAACTGAACATGATTTCGTTTTTATTATATTGTTCTTGTTTCCCCGTGTGGTTTTTCAATTGGTTGTCCTTCGAAAGTTTCTTTTGTAAGTGTTCATTTTGTTTATCCACATTTCCAGAGAAACTGTTATTATCATCATGTTTAAATGGAAATAGATTTTTCTTTTGTTCTTCGATAGGATTATTAACACGGGATCCTTTTAAAAGTGAAGAAATGTCTGGATATAATATCCTGGGATGTCTATTATTTACGTGTGAATGTGAATATTTATTTCCTGTGCATGTGTTGATGTTCTATAAAAATTATAGTATAGAAAAAAGAAAAAAAAAGATTACTTTCAAAAATTTCCTTATGCGTGTAGTTAACGTAAATGAAAAATCGATAATATCGTGGGTGTATAAGGCTGCGCCCTTATTAATTGAAATAAGTTACATACTTGTAGCAGAAGGTAATACAAAGACAAAAGTAAGGCACTAAAGACAGACTTGAAAAATATACAGATTGAAGATTTCTTGCTTTTTAGTTTTATTTCCTTTTCCTTGAACGACTTTTTAAAGGAACTCTTCCTTTCTGTTATATTCCCCAAGAAAGATATTATGGATAGAAGAAAATTTGGATTTCTCTTATTATCTTGCATTTTTTTTACTCTTTTATTTTATTTTATTTTATTTTTTTTGATATATCTTGAAAGATGCGGCAAGACTGTTTTGCGAATAAAAATGTTACTGCTATATTTTGTATACAACTAAAGTGTGTAATTCACTTATGTTGTGGGTGGTATTACGCTGCGTTAGATTTTTTAGCCAAGCAAGGACAAAAAGGAACGAAAAGTGATTAAAACACTATCTTAGAAAAAAGTTCGTGAAATATATGAAATTACAGGAAATATCCATAGGTATATATGCATCGGACAAGGAACTAACGATTTTGCAAAAGCTTAGGAAAAAAAATATATGGTGTTGAATAGACCATTTCATGTATATAGAATTGTCGAAAGCGACGAAGAACAAATATTTGAAATACAGACAACGTTATATTGTGCATTACATTTTTATATTTTCTTCTTTTTCAAATAGGATGTTTCAGAAATATTTTTGGGCGACTGGGTGTCAGAGATTCTGAAATTGTAATTTTGTTCTAAAATGAAAGTTAAATTTGAATAATTGGTTGCCATTTATGAATAACTTATTTGGGGGTATTTCTTTATATAATTCAATCTAAAATTGGCGCACAATGTTAAAAAAAATGACCCGCACCCACCAGCAGGTTCTGCGCTTTTCACTCTAAGAATAGCATAAAAATTGTTATTATTATGCACTACAAAATTGCAATTGAAGGAAATAAATAAAACATACACATATATTCGTGTAACGGAATTAGGAAATGTATTTTTCAGGTTATTTGTTCTTTCCCATTTTTAATTTTAAGTTTTTCTTATATATTTATTTTTCGAATAACAGAATTTGCAGTTTTTTTTATTATATTTTGTTGTATATATTTCCCCACCCCCTCCTGTCTCTGTTATATTGTTGACAACGTCGCGTAGTTAAAATTTAAAAGTTAAGTTTCCTCTTTAATTATATTTTTTCTTTCGAATTTTTCTTAATTAAAAGAAAATTAATGCCTAAAAATGGCAGACCAGTAGAAACCGGAATAATATAACTTGTACCGCATTTTACACAATCAATGAAGTGAAAAATATATATGCTGTCTGGTCCGTAATAATTAGTACATGTTAAGAAACGTAATAAATTGATGCGGTGAAGAACTCTTTTAAAATTAAAATCGTTCAGGTAAAATTGTATTTTATTCAAACATACACGTGTATTTATGAGTACAACAATATCTCGTTTTTCCGTTAGGAGAAAATTCCTGTTTCCTTACAAATCAACGGAAACAGTGATTGCACGATTATGCATTTAATACATAATGTGTTTTCTTCACAGTTGAGGTGTCCTGTATAACTTCTTGTGGTAAATGCGTTTAATGATACATTACCTTTCTAGGAATGCGTCAAATTCAATTTTAGCAAAACAGGCATCTGCCGTTCAATAAATTATGAACTAGAAAAGTTGATATATTAATGTTTTTGCGTTCATTTTTTTGTGGCGATAATTTTGTGTTGTAAAAGATGCATATCCCAAATAAGTCACAGGAATGGTCGAAGCTTACCCTATCTTTTACAACTTCTCACATGATGATTATACCACATATTTCGCATAACGTGTTAGAATTACAAAATTGGTAAAGTTGTTTTTTTAGAATGTTTAGGATTTTATATTTCTTTTTTTTTTCTAACGTGTAATTTTATTATACATGAAATTGAGGTTTTCGTTCCTCTTTTTTTTTTTTTTGCTTAGAATGAACATAATATATCGATTAAATTGGACTGCTAAGAAGAAAAAGAGTGCGAACACATAAATTTTTGAATAAGGATTTTATGTACTTTTAATGCGATGTGGGTGGGACTATCACTATAGTGGTGAATATTCCTGTTATAAAATTTTTTTTCCAATCATGTATAGTTATGTACGTTCTTTTTTTTTTTATTCTAAAGCATTATTGAAATTTTCAGTATTTATAGCTGCTTGTGCAATATTTCAATAAGAACAAGTGTTAAAATATTCACTCTTCTATTGGTTTAGTATGAAAATATGAATATTAAGGAAGAAAACTTCGAAGATGAAGTTTCGCTTTTTTGAATAAAATTAAGAGTGCCCATTTTATTTTGATTCTCAGTTGTCAGGATTGCACATACTGGCAACTGCATTTGTTTATTTGAATTAAAAAATAAAATAATAATAATAAGGTAAATTTCGAAAGTGAAAGCATTTGACATTTCTGTAGATTTACATACATGTGATATTTCAAATGGAATAAAATTATGAATGGTAGAATACTCCTAAGGATGGGGCTATGGCTCAAAGAAATTAAGTGAGGCAATAAAAAAAGGATTGATGCAGTTAAGTATCCTTCAAATTGCAAGAATTAGTAGTGCAAGAGTTAATAGTAAAAAAATGACAGAAGTGAAAGAAAAAATGAAGACGAGGGTGAAAAAGATAAATAACGCGAAGAGAAGGTTTCATAGGAGTAACATATACGCAATGTAAGATTCAAGAAGAAGTTCTTTGGCCTCTGAAGGAATAGGAAAGAACTTATAAGATGAATAAAAATATTGGAGGGTATGAACAGTTAATAAATTCTCTTATCTCAACTTTATTCTACATATGGGCAATTAAAAATGATCTTTAAAGCACGAATTATAACACTAGGTACAGGAATTTTAGAACTCATTGGATATTATTTTCTAAAACTCAAGTGTTACTATTTTTACTGAATACTTTATGTATATAACTGACAGCAAATATAAAACAAGGAGGGCAAAGGAACATGCTGGATGAGGAACAGATTTGATCAGTGCTTGTAAGTTACAATAAGGGGTGTTCAAGATTTTGGCAACACCGACACACACCCTAATTCCTTCAAAATTCAATTAAGGGATAAACAATTAAACATTAACTTCTGTTTCAGAATTAACAATGAATAACATAAAATTAATGGAAGCGTAAATGATAAACGTATAATTTTCCGTTACCCATTTAAATTTACATTGTACTGCTGTGTTTTTACAAATTCATGCACAGTTTCTCTGTATTTATGTAAAAAGTATATACTTATGAGAAGTAAAAAAATTTGTTCACTTTTCAAATCTAAGGTTATGTAAGATATATTAAATTTTGCTTAATCCGGGGCACTATTAACAGCTGTTTAAACAAAAAAAACAGGGCACAGCTGTGTGAAGTGTGAAATTGCGCAGTAATTTTATCTATATTTTCAGATACTAAAATTTATAAATAGATAAGTATATAAATAAATAAAATTTGCATTTAACCAGATATCTGCAGTTGCCTAATATTTAAACATCGAGTAAGTTTCCAATTTAATGAAACTCCTAAGTACAAATATAGAACGGCCTTAAATTTTTGGAATATTTTTTTTTTCCTTTGCACACAACATCTAAAAAGAATTCTGTGGGTCATATACCCTATTTGTGTTTTCATTGAACCCATTTTTTTTTTTTTTTTTCTCAAAATTGAAAGTTTGATTGGGGGTATACTATGGATTTGGTGTGTAATGGGAGAAAGACAGAGAGAAAAAAAAACTTAGACTTAATTATTGACA